TATTTACCATGCGCGTTATTTTTTCTCTTTACCTGTTTTACGATTTTTGCAAACATTTCTAAAATCACTACTTTCGGACGCAGCTATGAAAATAGAAAGATATAGTCAACAAGTTTTCTCATCCAGAACTCGGACAGAAGCTAAGGCTATTAACTTTAATTTCTCATAGTTAAGCGCGGACGAAAAGATACAACTGCTCAAATTCTGGAAGAAACTAATAACGTAACCATCGCTTCTGGCTCATATATTATTTCAAATCACGGTCGTAAACGAAAGGCCGTCACTACCGAAAATAATAATAAAAGGTTACGAAACAAGAGGCATCCAAATACCTTGGTTATGATGGTAAGTTACTTTTCTTTGACCTTGCAATCCTTCACTTGTACTTTCATCAAGTGACAATTTCTCTAATAATCTTGGCTTTTCAGAAATTATCTCCTACTTAAAGAACGAAAAAATCTATCATATGGGAGGTTTGCTATTAAAATCATATGATCCGTAACGTGATTTTAATTGATTACCTCCCATATTGCAGATTTTTGGTCTTCCACCGCAAGGTCATTATTACTTCTTTATTTCGAATGGTTGGAATGACCTCAACAGATACTGGGTGGTTCACTTTTGGAAGTGGCAGAAAGACTTTACATCAAATAACATTTGTGGACTTGAAGAAAAAGGTGCATTTTATAAAGGAAGAGTAACTCCTAGTCCACTTCATCCTGAATAGAAGGTTAGACTCAAGAGAATAACTGTATTTGACAGCTTGGTATCCACTCCAAGTCCTCTTATGTGGGTGCTCCAACTTTATTATTAATAAGTTTCTGGAGGATGAATCGGTATGCACCTTCTCTTATTATATTACTAAATAAATATAAATATGTTGCACTGCTAATACCATTACTTTCGTTACAGGTAAAATCGGTAAAATCGGAACATTTCAGGAAACGGTTGAAGTCGTATTGGAAAGGAATTAATTAAGGAATGCGAAAAAGAAAATCTACCAGCACCCACCGGTAAGCCTTTAATTACTTGTTAATAATATATCATCAAACAAACTACATAAACAAACATTTCTAATGTGAATTACATTGCTTTTTCGCGTTTATTTTATCAATTTGTGCTAATAACCATTAGAGCTTAGGAAAAAAAGGAAGAAACAAAATCAAATGAAGAAAACTGAATTGGAGCTTCTATCAACAATACCTCCGCCTATATATGGGGCTTCGTCAATAGAAACAAACATCTTACTTAATAATAATTTATTATATAAAAAGTGTTTATATTGACGAAGCCCCATATTATCCTGATTTTGATAAAAGTACCAGCACCATTAAATCAAGTACTGCTCGTACTCCACTTCCAATCAAGTGTTGGGCTTCATTTTTTGACGAGGTTATTCGCAACCAACGTTTAAGACCTACGATAAAGGTTACGACATATCAAACGAAGAAGACGTTAGAGGAGCGTTAAAGAATAATTTACTTGACAACCTCAATATAATTACGGCATCACGAAAACAAATAGATGTATTCAAGAGGATTTCAAAGGAAGATAAAGTTGCCAGAGAACCCGATTTCATCTCATGTATAAATAAATTTTTTTTAAAGTACTTATCACGATATGTACAGTTGTCGGACTAGAATAAGATCCTGAACCCGGGGTACATTTTAAGGACGCTCATATTGTAATTATTTATATATCACATAACAATATAGAATAAAAAATAAAAAATATAACTTGAATAATAACCGGATTCCACAAAGGAAGTAGAAGTTGTTTTTTTCATTCTTATCTGTGAATTTTTAATTTTTGGTGGTGGGTTAGGTGAAAAGTACAATTCGTCAAAAAAAAACTTTAATTTCATATCTGCCCGAAATTCGTCAAACAAATATATTGTCGGCTTTTTTGCTTTATTTTCACGAACATAAAAAATATTTCCTATGAGATTTCATCTACGGTATGAACGAGTCGGTAAAC